AGAGGTGTTGTCAATCTGTTTTCGCGGTGCGCCTGCACTCGTGAGAGATTGTGTGATTGAAGAGAGGTGCTCATGCACTGATGAGAGGTGACGACGCGGTCTGGCCAGCCGGATTCGCAGGCGGTAAAATCAAAGGCCTCCGTGTTTCTAAAGATTTACCGTTATCCTTAGTGATAGAGACCCTGATTGGACCATCCCTTGTATCCGGCTTCGTAAGAAACAGATCACACAAGTGGCGACAGACGGTCACAACTATGAGTGAGTTTCTACGTGACCAAATAATGCAAATCGTTCCTTTCATCAGAGATTAATGGTATTTATTAGATTTTTATGGGACTTTCTAAGTGCTACAACTCGACCGTTATTTATTTTATTGAATAAATAAGTACTATATACAATTATGATATGTGAGCGTATCATTACACATTGTTCTCTTTTAAGTTTTATGTAAATCCTGAGGCTATTAGTAAATCTAAACACCAGGATAATTGTGAGGTATCTTTGTACAATTCCCCTTATCAAACGAAAGGAACGTGTAATTTCAAATATCTGAACCTAAATACTACAATCTGGCATAAGCTTTATCTGCGAAACGCGTGGTTATATTATTGCATTTCGCAGGCAGTTACAGTAACATGTGCACAAAACTAGTAACTAGTACTAACCTACTCACGGGTACAGGAAAAATTCAAATATCCGATAATTGTTTCATATATACAGAAAATCTGATTTTAACACCATCGAGAACCCTATCATCAGAAATTCATAGAGATTTCGTTCCAGAAAATCCGAATCTAAACGCAATATTAAAAATGAAAGAAATAATTAACAGCCGTGTTCCCGAGCAAATAGATACAAATAAATATTTAAAAAAATTTAATCAGTTAGCCGAAGATGCTGAAAAACTGAAAGAATTAAAAAAAATATTCAACGATAACAAAATATTTGTAAATCCGGACCATCATTTTATTATAGTTAATATTATTGTAATTTTAATAATAGTTGTAAGTCTGTACATGTTGATTAAATATAAGTGTGATCTACCCCGACTCTACAGACCGGAAGTAGCAGAGTGTGTGCAACCCATATACTCTCCTACAAATTCTAAAAGCTTAAGAGCATCAGAACTCACGGATGAAGTGAAACATGGTGATCATTAGACCCCCATGCTTCATGTAGTCCAGAGGGTATTGTGAACCAAATAATTGAAATGTGCAACAAATAATGTTAAGTATGATTTTAAATTTAAATAAAATATGTGATTATATTAATATATTTTTTCGCATTAATTACTTATTTTTTCACTTCATAGACTAAGTTATAGATAATAGATTATACTACATACTCGTACAGGTGTATACTGGCTAATGACCTTTTTTTTTTCTTATCGGCCGGTCTCCGGGGCTGCTATCTTTCAAAGGTGGCAACGTTACTCGTAGCGCCTCTCTCATTTCCAAAGAGGTATTTCAGTATTTGTTTGCAGGCGCGGATGCAAGGAGGGCCATGGAAGCAATGCCGCTCCCCCCCCCCCCCCCAAAAAAAAATTTAAAAAAAAAACAGGTTTGCGAAAAAAATAATATGATTCATTTTTATAGATCCATTCTATAATCAATGAAAATATACTATATTATTTCACATTAAATTATTCTTATTACATAGGTATTTCTATATTAGATTATAATGTTTTGTAAAATCGATATTGGTTTTCGGACAAATCTATTTTAAATTTTTAAAAATTTTTCAGTAATTTCTAATCGCGTAGGCTAACGACGCGACGTGCGACTACGTAGACCGTTTACGTTATCGTCATAATCGCAGATACTACATTGAACATTACTTCTACTGCTACAATAGGTTGGTATTGAGTATGAAATCATAAAATAACATTATCATTTTCTACGGGATGCGGACAGCGTTCAACGTACGTCGAGGCTAACCTAACCTAGCGTATTTGAAAAATGGTAAGTAATTTGTATTTTGAATTTTAATATACGGCCACTGATTAGATTATTTGAATTAAAAATCAAATTTTGTACAATAATAAAAATTTTGTTTAAATAAATAAAATATAATATGTACTATTTCATCCTTTTAATATTTTAATACATTTATATTTTCTACTAATTTATATTATTTAAATTATTAATAACATTTTGTTAAGGGGATTCGATACCGATCTGTTTTAAGGAGTTGAATATAGGCAATTTATATAGTACTTCCGCGCCACCACTATTTCTATTATGACTCACGCACGCTCATACACATGTCAACGTGTACAACGTCGCGCGCGCGAGTAAATTAAATAGACCGTTTTTTCGACTAAAACATCCAATATTTTACGATAAGACTTTTAAAAACTGATTTGAATTCGTTATTATGTCTTCTTGAGATCGGCCTAGCCACTTTTTTGACTACAATTTTAATTCAGAGTAATCAAAACTTACATTTTTTTAAGTTTCACAATTTCTAAATCCATATTATAAAGATTAGGGGCCGAAATTTGAAAAAGTTGGCCGATCTCAAGAAGACATAATAACGAATTCAAATCAGTTTTTAAAAGTCTTATCGCATTATTAGGTCCATCTAATGGACAAAAGATTGGATGTTTTAGTCTAAAAAAATGGTCGGTATCGAATCCCCTTAATATGTGAAAATCTGATTTTAATTACATACTTTATTGATACGACCGACATTTTTTACTTCATATTGCCATCATAAGATGATTTTAAACTATTATTTCGTTTTCTTTAATTTCGTAAGCCTTAACTACTGATAAAAACCGTCCTTCTTCAAAAATAAGTTCATTTTTCAATCTTATTTAAAAAAAAAAATCACAGTTGAAAGCAGTATAAGAGCTTAATTCGAACATTGATTTAGTATTAGCATCTTATAGTCATGATTTTCATCGCCATACTAATGACACAGGACAACAGGAGATTATATTGGAAAAAATATTGACGATTATACGAAACGTGAACTTTTAACATATCATTGGGTACCACCAACAAACTATATATTTCCTTTCTCTGGGCATAATAAAAATGATAAATTAATACGTCGATTTATTGGGCAACAACATTTAAATAATTTTAAATGGTTAGTATTTTCACCATCAAAACAAGGATTATATTGCAAATATTGTCTTTTGTTTAATGTACAAAAACAAGGCGGTTTTCAACGAAATGTAGAATTAAAAAAATTAGTTACTCAACCATTGACAAAGTTTGCAAAATTACAAGGAAATACAGGGGATTTACATGGACATGAAATCACTAGATATTTTTGTGAACCCCTGTCTGATTGCTAAACACAGTATGCGATATAACTAGTAATAGTATAATATAGTATAGTGTGTAAGCATATAATATGTGAATAGGCAGAGTCACACGGTCTTAAGGAATTCGCTGTGTGGACAGTTTTATGCCCGAGTGAGCCCCGACCGTGTCGAGCTGTCTGTGTAATAGTCAGTGTATTCCTGGCAGACCATCAAGCAGAGCTTCTGTTATATTCTTAAGTTTAACAATTATTCTGTGCAACTAAATTTCTTTTAAAATTGATTATATTAATAAAGTATTAGTGATAACTCAAACACAGCGTAATTATTACTAACGAACAAACTCAGTTGTGGAGACGTCCATAACAATATCACAAAGAGTCTGTCCAAATGGCTGAACTTTTTTTACAAAATTATAATAATCCCAAACTTCAAATACAAAATTTATTAAATACGAAACGAATGCAAAAAATAAAAGAAAATCAGGAAAAACTTATTCCAATCATAGAAAGTATTATATTTTTGGGGAGACAAAACATCTCCTTTCGAGGCCATAGAGATGATGGCCAACTAGATTTACCATCGTAGATTTGACTACCAACAAAATATGCCACTACCACATATCCTAGCTGGTGATGTGTTTCACAAGCGCCAGCTTTGGGTCTATAATTTTTGTATATTTTCTGGCAGAACTGGTAAATCTTATTTTTACATGTATGATAAAGTAGTAGGTAAGGAAAAAATGAAATTATAAGTTTCAACCACTTTTTTAGCAATTATTTAGATCAAGGAGTTAATACAATTTATATATTTTCTGACAATGCACAAAACAAGAACCATTCTTTAGTTCAATATTTATATACTGTGGCAAAAACAAAGAAATATGATATATCAAAAATAATTCATCGCTATCCAGAACCCGGACACAGTTTCCTACCATGCGATAGAAACTATGGTCTCATTGAAAAACAAAAAAAAAACGTCAGGAAATAGAAAAACCTATAGATAGCAATATATTTTTGAATGATGTGGCCAAGGAAGTAAAAGAATTGTCAAGTATTGGAAAGTTTACACCTTATGGTACAAAAATTGTTTTAGTTAATTGTATTTGTTGCGACTCTCGGGCTAAAAGTTTCGTTACAAAAACAAAAGGACATTTGGGATTTTATTCTTGTCCCAGATGTGATATTGAAGATATATATTATGAAAATAGAGTTTGCTTCCCTGGAAAAAAAGGTAATTCAAGAACACATATAGATTTTGCAAACCGTACAAATGAAGAATATCATGTAACTGATTCAATTTCTATTTTAACTGATATACCACATATTGATATAGTTCATAGTTTTAGTCTAGATTATATGCGTCTTGTATGCTTGGGTGTTACAAAACAAATTATTTTTTTATGTTTAGGTAATTTAAAAAAATCTCCATTACATGTGGGTTTACAAAACAAAAATGTACAGGCCATTTCTTCTAACTTGTTATCTCTTAGACCTCATATATGTAGTGATTTTTCAAGATATATTTAATATGTTAAATTGGTTGTTAAGAGAATCATGTCCAAATTATTCTGTGACAGTTTGCTATCTAACTACTCATACACCGGGAAAAAAGGAAAAGATAAATTTTCAAGTCTATCAGTATGCTCAGTTGTATTTGGTATGAAATAAGAATAATTTTAAATAATTTATTATATGTAAATATATATATTTATGCCATTAGTAGTATATTATATTGTACTACCTACTAATTTTTTTCTCCAATTTATTATTTAATTACAGATAATTATAATATCAATATAATAATAACCTTTTTAGGTGCCGTTAAAAAACAAACAAAATTTAAGAATACTCCATTAAATGAAATAGAAGAAGTCGTAAAATACATTTTGGCACAACCGCCTTTTAATTTATAAAGATTAAACAAAATAAAAGCATTTAACATATTATTATGTATTTTAAATTAAATTACTTTTAAAATTATATATATACATTTTATAATTTTTAAAAATTTTATGAATTTTGAACACAATAATACTTATTAACTATTATGTATATTAGCCGTGTAATTATATTTTGTTAAAAAATAAACTATAATATATATACACCTAA